GGGCACCATGCCAGCGATCCACGAAAATCCAGGTTAGAACAGGTCTTGTCGTAAGAGGCGACTAACGGGATTGGTTAGTCAGGCTCGCTGACTTGGTTGATACATGTCATAATATCTTAATATGATGCTCATCATGTCAATCACTGGGTTGTCTGGTCCAGACTGGATTATTTACAGACCGCCGTCATAGCTGTAATATTGCTGAGTGCTGCCTTAAACAAACAAACAAACAAACAAACATGATGCCTGCATGCTTGGAAGACAGGCTGACTGAAGATCAAGTGCCAAATACTTGTTTGAATAATGTTAACAACATTGACATAGTAAAGAAAGACGGGACGTTTGTTAATATATCAGCTGGTTCCATTGATAGATGGCGCTTATTGTTGCCTGCCTGAGTCAGTCTCATGTTTGCTTATCCCGAGAGGTAGAATTTCAGGTTTTGTTTCGGTTGTCCGTATAAGTTATCACAGTTGGGACTAGTAGACGTTTCAGGTTTATTTCTACATCTGTGGTGGTTCGCAGTGGAAGACCAAAGTCAGATTAACTAAACATGAACTAACATTGCAATCAACTAAACATGAAACCCCTTGTAATCAACTAAACATGAAATCCCCTTGTAATCAACTAAACGTGAAATCCCCTTATAATCAACTAAACATGAAATCCCCTTGTAATCAACTAAACGTGATGTCTCCTTGCAGTCAACTAAACATGAAATCCCCTTGTAATCAACTAAACGTGAAATCCCCTTGTAATCAACTAAACGTGAAGTCTCCTTGCAGTCAACTAAATGTGAAATCCCCTTGTAATCAACTAAACATGAAATCCCCTTGTAATCAACTAAACATGAAATCCCCTTGTAATCAACTAAACATGAAATCCCCTTGTAATCAACTAAACATGAAATCCCCTTATAATCAACTAAACATGAAATCCCCTTGTAATCAACTAAACGTGAAATCCCCTTGCAATCAACTAAACATGAAATCCCCTTGTAATCAACTAAACGTGAAATCCCCTTGTAATCAACTAAACGTGAAATCCCCTTGTACTCAACCAAACGTGAAGTCTCCTTGCAGTCAACTAAACGTGAAATCCCCTTGTAATCAACTAAATGTGAAATCCCCTTGTAATCAACTAAACATGAAATCCCCTTGTAATCAACTAAACATGAAATCCCCTTGTAATCAACTAAACGTGAAATCCCCTTGTAATCAACTAAACATGAAATCCCCTTGTAATCAACTAAACATGAAATCCCCTTGTAATCAACTAAACGTGAAATCCCCTTGTAATCAACTAAACATGAAATCCCCTTGTAATCAACTAAACATGAAATCCCCTTGTAATCAACTAAACGTGAAATCCCCTTGTAATCAACTAAACGTGAAATCCCCTTGTAATCAACTAAACATGAAATCCCCTTGTAATCAACTAAACATGAAATCCCCTTGTAATCAACTAAACGTGAAGTCTCCTTGCAGTCAACTAAACGTGAAATCCCCTTGTAATCAACTAAACGTGAAATCCCCTTGTAATCAACTAAACATGAAATCCTCTTGTAATCAACTAAACATGAAATCCCCTTGTAATCAACTAAACATGAAATCCCCTTGCAATCAACTAAACATGAAATCCCCTTGTAAGCAACTAAACGCGAAATCCCCTTGTAATCAACTAAACGTGAAATCCCCTTGTAATGTTATGAACAATGAAAATGTAATGATATAAAATTAAATGGATTGGAAACTTAAAGTGAACTTACCGTATGTGAACAATGTAAATGGGTAACTCTCTCTTATAAGCCTATTTGGTTTATTTTCCCTAAACATCGGTATCAAATTAAAAGTGAAAAAACCTAAAACAATTTGAGTTTGAAAATAGAGATGGCTCAGAAAGTATTGTGTTAACACAAGTCCCTGGCAACCTATGTCGGTCGTCAGAGGCAACGAAGTGACACGTGTGGTCAGACTCTGGGACTTGGTTGATTGTGTGTCATCGTACACTGATGGCATGGAATGTTCCTCACAATGAGGTTTGATTTAAAGTTTCAAGGTGTTTTTAATCACTGATGATTGGTGGGGGTACCGGGGATAAATGTAATACACGTGTCATTGGCAGTGAAAATAAGTTGCATCAGATTAAAAAAGTATGAGTGAGTGAGTGTGTGAGTATGGTTTTCCGCCCCTTTTAGCAATATTCCAGCAATATCACGGCGGGGGACACCAGAAATGGGCTTCACACATTGTACCCAAGTCTGGAATCGAACCCGGGCCTTCGGCGTGATGAGCAAATGTTTTAACCACTAGGCTACCCCACCGCCCCTTAAAGAGTATGAAGTCCACTTAAATTGTTAAAGTGAAAGTTGTATATACAGTCAAACACTGTTGTGTTGGAAGTTGAAGGGATCTACGAAAATACTTTTGAGTTACCCAAGGTTTGACACAGCTGAAAATGAACTGGGCGTAAATCTACCGATTGGCATCAAGAATGAATAAGACAAAACATATACACCAAACAAAGAAAAACACCAAATAAATGGCAACTTTTCAGAGTAAATTTGGGCTGAAATACATATTTGGGACGAAAATGATTTTGAGACAATCGTACCTTCGACACATCCGATTCAACACATCAGCTTTATCTTCGAGACAAGGGGGACACAGGTGACCCAGTCGTCTAAGGCGCCGCGATTCGCTGTGCAGAGTTGCGTCCCTTGGGCACGCCAGAAACCTATGATTGTGGGTTCGAATCCCGGTTCACCCTGATTATGTTTCTAGGTTTGTCAGCACCATACCCGTGCTCGTGGGTTTCACCGAAGTGGTAAACGTCTGAGACTCACATCACTTCGGGCTTTCCTCCCACATTAAGCTGCCACGCCCTGATATAACTGTAATACTGTTAAGAGCGGCGTTAAACCCAACTCACTCACTCACTCACTCACTCACTCACTCACTCACTCACTCTTCGAGACAAGGGTAAGTTCGAAACAACGGGGATTGACTGTATATCAATGTGAAATAATTAATGATATGAATACAAGAAGTCACAAGGTGATTTTAATAAATGGTGAAAGCTTCACATCCTTGATCAGCGTCGATAAAAGTATTTGCTAACTTCAAGCCATGTGGGCATATGTTGCATTATTGATCAGCTGACTGTCGGAGAGGTAACTGTACACCAGCTGATGCTGTCCCAAGCCGTGATATGTTGGCCATCACTCGTCAGTGCTGTTGACATGGGGAAGTGTTGTAGGGTTGTTACGTCACGTCTACTTCTGAAATGTCCTATGTGTACATGGAGTAGTTATGCTGTCGTGGTATTTAAAATATTCTACTCATTGGTTGCCAAGTGCCACAAGGTCCTAGTTGTTGAGAACGGTGTGGCATTGTAGCTTGTGTCGCCACCACTGTGACCTAGAGAAAAGAAAATACATAACGTTTTCCTCAAACATCTTCGTAAACTGTTGATATTTTGAACATGACCCGCTGACTTGATGATGCCCCTACTGATATCAACTGACCTTTTGTTTATTATTGGTAATATGCATTAATAGATGTGTTATTGTTTTCATTTTGTGACCTTTTATGAAATTATTGTCAGATCAACAATTTACTGTTGAAGACTGACTGAAGGTGCTGTTGACACAGCCTGCATCAAATGGGCCGGACTGGTGGTCACTGGTTTGTCAGTCCAGACTCTTGTGTGGGGGTTTCAGAAGAATGCTCAATGTTGGAGACATGTCTTTTGGGGGTCTTCTTCGACATTAGGCTGGCAAATTATGTAAGGACTGCCATACAGTTCAAAGCTGTGTTATTCACTCTCTTGCTCGCTCAGTCATTCAACCCACCTGTCCACTCACTCACTCACTCACTCAACCCACCTGTCCACTCACTCACTCGCTCACTCACTCAACCTGTCCACTCACTCACTCACTCAACCCACCTGTCCTCTCACTCACAAACTCATTCATTCACTCACTCACTCACTCACTCACTCACTCACTCACTCACCCAACAACTCACTCACTCACTCACCCAACAACCCACTCACTCACTCACTCACTCTATCAGTGTTCAAGGTCTGCAAGTGTTTCCATCTGTGATGAGTTAGGCAGCTGGTACTCCAACACAAAAACAGACTATGTGTCACAGGAGCTGAAATATAAAATACTGGACTTGTGTTCAAGAAGGACAAGTAGCTTTACATGTTACATGTTACATGACGAAGGACAAGAAAGACACTAGTGATCAAAGCCCTGTGTTTCCTCTTACATTGTCTTTCAACAAGGAAACGATGTTTCTGAAACAGAAAGTAAAATTTTAGTATAAAAAATTAATCATGTTATTGAGGAGTTAAGATATAAAAGGAAACAACAGACAGAAAACCAAGTAAAGAATTTTCATATTCTTCATACAGTGAAAAAAGGTATATATTGCGCCCCCTCCATGGTCTGCCAGTTCTTGCTGTTGCAGCGATGTTCTCGTGTTATTGATATAGCTGACCACATATGACTAGTCAGTCCCTTGTCAACCGCCTCCGTGGTCTTGTGGTAGAGCGTCCGCCCGGAGAGCAGAAGGTCCAGGGTTCAATCCCGGGCCGCGTCATACAAAAAGACGTTAAAAGATTGTACTTGTTGTTACCCTGTCTGGCGCTCGGCATTAAGGGGCTAAAACAAGGACTGGTCGGCTCGGAGTCAGTATACTGTGTCTGAGTGGGGTATTCATGTTAAACTGCGGCATGGTATCTCAGTGAGCTAGCACTATAAATCAGCATCAGCCCGGACTAGTACAAGCAGCCACACACACACATACACGTGCATGCACGTCGCTATATAAGTGCAATAATCTTGGACGCGACGTTAAACCCAATTTCACTTCACCTCACCTCAGTCCCTTGTCCACAGTGTTCTCTCATTAGCACCGATGCTGCTGCCCTGGGCTATGACACTACTGACACCTCACCATCATGTTTCTGATCCTGTGTTTCTCCTGCAGGGTGTATGGGGGACACACAGTTCCACTTCCGGATCCGCCAGTGCCCCGGCCGACGGCAGATGATCCAGGCACACAGTCAGTACAACCGAGACTGCCCTGTCTCACTTCAGGTAACCACACGTAGCTGAACAGGTTAAAGATGGAATTGTTCAAATGATGATACAAGCTCTAAAGTTTGCATGGTCGATCGTTTTGGGGTAACTAAGAAAAAAACGTTAGCCACCCAAATCCAAGATGGCCGCCAATTTTCTTTTCAAATAATTTGCCATTCGTCACCACTCACCCCTTTCCGTAACCTGCAAGAAGACTCGTCCCCCTATCGATGAATGTTATGTGCGAAAATACGACAAACCAATCAAAATGCGCGTATGATTTCAAGTTCTTCGTCAAAGAATCCCTCAGAAATAATTTTTGATTTTACACAATTCTTGCATCTAAAAATATACCAAAGACACAGTTAAATGTGTTCAATCCTACTGTATGATTCCGTAAGTCCCGATGTGCTTTAAATTGCATCTGAAATATATATAATATATGGGGAAATATATGTGAACCATTACGCAACGGGTTGACAATTGTTTTAGGTATGCCCGTTTGCGCAAAGACGGAACCCGGTCGCAAAAATGGCCATGATATGGGGCATGAGTCGCTATTCGGCTGGTCACGAATGATAATTTGCCTTTTACGGAATAGTTCTGCTGACTTTAAGTCTTATTAGTGACAGTCCTCATGATTCAGTCTTAATGTGGTTCCAGGACAAGATAGGTCACCTGTATACTGTGCTTTCTAAAACAGAGGTGGAGATGGGAATGGGTCGTCCCAATGTGTGATATGGCTGACAGTGTGTTACCCTGATGGAGTGGATCATTGCTCATATTATCAACCACCAGTTTCTCCAAACACAATGAAGGACCATAATTTGACTTGGATTTGCCCATAGTGTGGAAATGAAAAATTTAATTTCTGTTCAATTTTTTCAGTAATGGAAATTCTTTTAACCACGTTCATGAGAATCTTTGAAACCATCAGGCTCTAAGGAACTGGTATTTTGGTCGGATTTATAGCATGACAATGCATTCAGAATTAAGCATGACATGTCAAAATTAATACATTTTTCTTTAAACTGAAAAGAATATTTTTAAAGAATGATTTTGGTGGAGCTGAACTTATTTTTTGCTTGTACAAGGACTTGTTTTTCCTGGCACTCATCAGAATACTTATTAAATACAGGGAAACTATCACTATTTATATTCTTTTTCTGTTATTTTTAAATGATATCCTTCCAGTTTCATGTTCCATGACCTCCATGATTGAAACATTAAAAAGTGTAAAACTTGAATCGTTCGCTCACTGCTGTGAAGTACAACCCATCTGTTAACATTGATTTGCTCTGCAACGCCGTCAATCTAATGGATTCCCTGTATCATTGATTTGCTCTGCAACACCGTCAATCTAATGGATTCCCTGTATCATTGATTTGCTGTGCAACACCGTCAATCTAATGGATTCCCTGTATCATTGATTTGCTCTGCAACACCGTCAATCTAATGGATTCCCTGTATCATTGATTTGCTCTGCAACACCGTCAATCTAATGGATTCCCTGTATCATTGATTTGCTCTGGAACGCCGTCAATCTAATGGATTCCCTGTATCATTGATTTGCTCTGCAACACCGTCAATCTAATGGATTCCCTGTATCATTGATTTGCTCTGCAACACCGTCAATCTAATGGATTCCCTGTATCATTGATTTGCTCTGCAACACCGTCAATCTAATGGATTCCCTGTATCATTGATTTGCTGTGCAACACCGTCAATCTAATGGATTCCCTGTATCATTGATTTGCTCTCCAACACCGTCAATCTAATGGATTCCCTGTATCATTGATTTGCTCTGCAACACCGTCAATCTAATGGATTCCCTGTATCATTGATTTGCTCTCCAACACCGTCAATCTAATGGATTCCCTGTAGTATCCTGTGTATTGATATAATTAACCACAAAATTCTTTTTCTCTGGAAAGGCATAACCAATTTAATTGTTTGTTATACAGAATGTTTTAGTCAATGTGCTAAATCTTTCAATAGGTCGAAGAAAAAACGTGCTGGGGTTGAAGTTAATTTCTTTATGATATCTTGAATTAACAGATTTAGAAAACATACAAATAACAAGATGGTTTACGGAGCAACAATTCCAAGCACATATAGCGGTACACTGTATTTTCAGTATCGATGATTTATGAATAACTCAATGATAAACTTGTCACCAGTGTTGATTTTGAAGTTATTGTTTTAGAACAACTCTTGAAAATAAAGTTTAAAGGCAAGATGGAAACAAAAAGATTTAAGAAAACATATTAATTCAGTCACACAGCATTTTCATTTTTGTACATATGTTATAAAGGCCTGTTCGAAATACAAAGATATAGATTGTTTGAGCCTTTCTTGGAGGAGCAAGGTGCACGATGATAATGCAGTTAGACACGTTTGTATTGATCTCCATGACAGCCTAAACTGCTAGACAATGAGGTAGCCTGTTGCCAGTCCTTGCTTGGTGCACCTTTCCGAAGCAAGAGAGTTTTAAGAGTCTAGTTTCCACCCTTGCCGAACTAGGCTGTAATTCCTGGACTCGATCGTAGTGCCACCAGTGGTTATTACGAGTCATGTCCCTTCTGAGGCTCTCCTATGGACCAATTAGATTCCACCGCTCGTATCATTCATAATCAAGTTCTACAGTGTTATAAAACGGGTCTTACATCTAGCCATGCTGCTATATCACAGCCCCATGGGTTCCAGGTTAGAATTGGTCACCAACCTGTGCTGGTTTTAAGAGGCACCCTAATGGATATTGTGGTCAGACTCCTTGACTTGGTTGGTTGTAGTTATCACACCCTGATAATGTTTTATTACTGATAGGTTATACACTGTGAGTGGTACATAAGACTGTCAAGCAGGCAGATACACTGAGTGGTATATAAGACTGTCAAGCAGGCAGATACACTATGAGTGGTATATAAGACTGTCAAGCAGGCAGATACACTATGAGTGGTATATAAGACTGTCAAGCAGGCAGATACACTGTGAATGGTATATAAGACTGTCAAGCAGGCAGATACACTATGAGTGGTATATAAGACTGTCAAGCAGGTAGATACACTGTGAGTGGTATATAAGATTGTCAAGCAGACAGATACACTGTGAGTGGTACATAAGACTGTCAAGCAGGTAGATACACTGTGAGTGGTCTATGAGACTGTTAGGTTCACAATGTACACTGCACATAAACTCCAGTTTAGTGTCCCTATGGTCTCACTCAAAGCATTCGGCAACAGAACTTTTGCTCACACTGCATCTGTGCTCTGGAATTCCCTTCCAGTGGAAATTAGGCAATCTCCAACTCTGGACACTTTCAAGACAAAACTAAAGACTTATCTCTTTAGATGTGTGTATGACCCTGTGTGAGGTGCTATGAGCGACTACGTAGACGGAAATGGCGCCGAAGAAATGGACTTTATTATTATTATTATTATTATTACACTGGGAGTCTATGTTTCAGTCGGACAGCGCTCACTACTACGGCTTCGTCTACTTCCGCCAGACCAAGGACAAGACCATCCGACGAGGCTACTTCCAGAAGGTAACGGGATGGATGGATAGAAACTTCTGTTTAATACCTAGAACAGGTCGCCCAGTGGCACGGCAATTTGCTGTGCAGAGTTGTCTCCCTTATCCCCTTTCTTGCAAGAAGACTTGTTCAGCCCTTCCCCAACCCAAAAACTCAAAAACTTCTCCTTAGAAACCACTGTCAATCTGAAGCTGAAACTTCACATGCTTCTTCCCAATGATGATACGACCCGTGAAGATCCGGGGTAGAATAAGTCTTCAGCAACACATGCTTGCCGTAAAAGGCGACTATGCTTGTCGTAAAAGGCGACTTATGGGATCGGGTGGTCAGGCTCGCTGACTTGGTTGATGCATGTCATCAATCCCAATTGCGTGGATCGATGATCATGTAGTCAATCACTGGATTGTCTGGTCCAGACTCGATTATTTACAGACTGCTGTCATTTAGCTGGAATATTGCTGAGTGCGGCGTAAAACAACCAACCAATCAACCAACCAATGATGATACCCCAACTTGTTCAAGAATGTCAAATCTGATTTGTCCCATTGAAAAGCCTATATGTCATATTAGAGGTAATAAGCGCCCAGGGTGCCCTCAAAATTAGAAATAGGGGGCTTTTATTAGCATATTATTTTGGTGAAAAAATTTATGCTGAAATATTTATGTATGACAGATATATTTTTCCAAAATTTAATTGCCATAATCAAGGGTGCATATAACACAGGAGTGCGTATTATACGTGAATAAATAAGTCATGTGTTCATTGATCAATCGGAAGGGGTGCTAATTGGGATTGTTGACTTGCCAATATCTTAGTAAATGTCACCATGGGCGCTTATTAGAGCGGGGTGCTTATTTCATCGAATACGGTATGTCCGTTACTCATTTTTGTCATTTTTGTTTCAAATGTAATGAAATTTGGTACATGTTAGAAATTGGCACTAGTCCTGTGGTCCATGCCAAACTGCCCAATAGTTAAGGTATTCTAAGGATGAGTAGAAATTTGTCTTTTTAAGAGGTTTTGCTATACGTTATCATTATGAGGACTAGTGGACTAAAACTGTTAGTATCTACCGCTGATGTGTAGTTGGTAGTGGGACTGAACAGTATATTCCGGTTTCTTTTTGCGATATTGTAAATTTTGACCTTGATATGACCTTTGCACTACAACCTTAATGAAAGCTGAATCTTCTTATGACCTTGACCCAGCCATTTTCTTTGAACATGTGCTAACGACATTTGGTATGTGTAAATAGGCGTGGGCTTAAGACTTCTCTTCTGGTTTTTTTGCAACCTTTTGAATTTTGACCCTTTTTTTAGGGGACACGGGTGGCCCAGTCGTCTAAGGCGCCGTGATTAGCTGTGCAGAGTTGCATCCCCTGGACACGCCAGAAACCTATGATTGTGGGTTCGAATCCTGGTTCACCCCGATTATGTTTCTAGGTTTGTCAGCACCATACCCGAGCTCGTGGGTTTCACCGAAGTGGTAAACGTCTGAGACCTGCATCACTTCAGGCTTTCCTCCTACATTAAGCTGATACGCCGCGATATAACTGGAATACTGTTAAAAGCGGCGTTAAACACAACTCACTCACTCATCCACCCTTTTTTTAACCTGTTGTGGCACCACAATTCAAATTGCCTGATTCTTGGTTCCAAGTCTTTGGGTCCCGTACATTCTACCATGACACTGTATGATCCTGGATTGAGGTCTGGTTTTGTGACTGAGTGTCAGTGATGCTGGAGTTCTGTCTGGTTTTGTCTTTCAGTCCGTGGTTCTCATCAGTCGTCTGCCCTTTGTATCTCTGTTCAGTCAACTTGTGGGCATCGTCGCTCCCGAGTATTTTGAAAACGGTGAACCCAGCTTAGAAGCAGGTTGGTGGATCATGTCAATTTCACTTCATTTTGAATTTTCTTCAGATTTCAAGGAATCTAAAACTGTTTTGATAGTTTTTATGAATGACCTATTTATTTGGAATTCTACTTGCAGCATGAAATTATTAGCATAACCTATTATTTTAACAAATAAAAGGCTGTATTTAGAGGTTTTCAGGAAGCATTTTCCTACCATGTTAACATGAGCAAGTCTTGGGACCCAAGCTGACTTTCTTAGGTGATATGACCATGGTCTAGTGGTAGAGCGTCCGCCCAGAGAGCAGAAGGTCCGGGGTTTGATCCCCGGCTGTGTCATACCAAAAGACGTTCAAAGATGTTACTTGTTGTTTCCACTTGTTTCAGCCTGTCATGATATCGATCAGTGGCCAATGCCGCTGCCGGGCGACACACTGAACCTCCCCATCATGGGCACGGTGATACAGGTACGTGCCTTCGTCTCCTCATCAGCAGCCAGCCAGGCGTGTTAGAGCTGGGGCGCTCCTCTGTAGGCCAACACCTGCAATATCAGTGCCCCTCTACCTGACCAACACCTGCAATATCAGTGTCCCTCTACCTGACCAACACCTGCCATATCAGTGTCCCTCTACCTGACCAACACCTGCCATATCAGTGTCCCTCTACCTGACCAACACCTGCAATATCAGTGTCCCTCTACCTGACCAACACCTGTAATATCAGTGTCCCTCTACCTGACCAACACCTGCAATATCAGTGTCCCTCTACCTGACCAACACCTGCCATATCAGTGTCCCTCTACCTGACCAACACCTGCCATATCAGTGTCCCTCTACCTGACCAACACCTGCAATATCAGTGTCCCTCTACCTGACCAACACCTGCAATATCAGTGCCCCTCTACCTGACCAACACCTGCAATATCAGTGTCCCTCTACCTGACCAACACCTGCCATATCAGTGTCCCTCTACCTGACCAACACCTGCAATATCAGTGTCCCTCTACCTGACCAACACCTGTAATATCAGTGCCCCTCTACCTGACCAACACCTGTAATATCAGTGCCCCTCTACCTGACCAACACCTGTAATATCAGTGTCCCTCTACCTGACCAACACCTGCAATATCAGTGTCCCTCTACCTGACCAACACCTGTAATATCAGTGCCCCTCTACCTGACCAACACCTGTAATATCAGTGTCCCTCTACCTGACCAACACCTGCCATATCAGTGTCCCTCTACCTGACCAACACCTGCAATATCAGTGTCCCTCTACCTGACCAACACCTGTAATATCAGTGCCCCTCTACCTGACCAACACCTGTAATATCAGTGTCCCTCTACCTGACCAACACCTGTAATATCAGTGTCCCTCTACCTGACCAACACCTGTAATATCAGTGCCCCTCTACCTGACCAACACCTGTAATATCAGTGTCCCTCTACCTGACCAACACCTGCAATATCAGTGTCCCTCTACCTGACCAACACCTGTAATATCAGTGCCCCTCTACCTGACCAACACCTGTAATATCAGTGTCCCTCTACCTGACCAACACCTGTAATATCAGTGTCCCTCTACCTGACCAACACCTGTAATATCAGTGTCCCTCTACCTGACCAACACCTGCAATATCAGTGTCCCTCTACCTGACCAACACCTGTAATATCAGTGTCCCTCTACCTGACCAACACCTGTAATATCAGTGTCCCTCTACCTGACCAACACCTGCCCTCTACCTGACCAACACCTGCCCTCTACCTGACCAACACCTGTAATATCAGTGTCCCTCTACCTGACCAACACCTGCCCTCTACCTGACCAACACCTGTAATATCAGTGCCCCTCTACCTGACCAACACCTGCAATATCAGTGCCCCTCTACCTGACCAACACCTGCAATATCAGTGTCCCTCTACCTGACCAACACCTGTAATATCAGTGCCCCTCTACCTGACCAACACCTGCAATATCAGTGTCCCTCTACCTGACCAACACCTGCAATATCAGTGTCCCTCTACCTGACCAACACCTGTAATATCAGTGCCCCTCTACCTGACCAACACCTGTAATATCAGTGTCCCTCTACCTGACCAACACCTGTAATATCAGTGTCCCTCTACCTGACCAACACCTGTAATATCAGTGTCCCTCTACCTGACCAACACCTGCAATATCAGTGTCCTTCTACCTGACCAACACCTGTAATATCAGTGTCCCTCTACCTGACCAACACCTGTAATATCAGTGTCCCTCTACCTGACCAACACCTGCCCTCTACCTGACCAACACCTGCCCTCTACCTGACCAACACCTGTTATATCAGTGTCCCTCTACCTGACCAACACCTGCCCTCTACCTGACCAACACCTGTAATATCAGTGTCCCTCTACCTGACCAACACCTGTAATATCAGTGTCCCTCTACCTGACCAACACCTGTAATATCAGTGTCCCTCTACCTGACCAACATCTCCAACTTGTCATTTGTTACCGTCCTTCTGTTTGTGTTTCTGAACTTACACACCAGAAGGATGTTGATTGATTGTTTATGCCCCAAAACTAGTTCTTTTGAAAACTGGAAATTTGACATGCAATACTAAACTCCCATTTTGGAAAGCACAATATTTATTTTAATCCATATGTTGCTGTCTATCAAACAGTGAAACTATGCTTGATTCAAAGAGACTTTAAAATGCTGTAGCAGTTAATCCTTCTTGAACGAGAACACTCAATATTGCTCCTTGATATTACCGTTGCAGTTGAATTATTCTTAAGACAGAAGGGGCGGTCGGGTAGCCTAGTGGTAAAGCGTTCGCTCGTCATGACGAAGACCCGGGTTCGATTCCTGACATGGGTACAATGTGTGAAGCCCATTTCAGGTGTCCCCTGTCGTGATATTGCTGGAATATTGCTAAAAGCAGCGTTAAACCATACTCACTCACTCACTCTTCAGACAGAAACACTATAATTATCTGCAGCAATGAAATTACCCCCATTCACAGTTGCAACAGTAATTCACACTTGTCTGCTAGCCAGTATCTACTTAATGTAATTGTGCTGAAGACAAGTAACATTCCAATGATGATAGTCCGAACTGACTATTCTTCTGAACCGTAGTACTTCAAGTTTAATCTGATTAAAACTGATAGAAAATGTACCTGTAAACAATTTTCGTCTCGTTCAAGCAGGACTAGCTACAAACACTGAGGTCTTGTGAAATAAGTCGAAAGTGCTGTGCACTAGTCTTAAAAAGATGAATTTCTAAGGCTGTTACAAGGTGCTGTATTAAGCTCACTCTTAATTATATTGGGTAGAGTCCACTCTGGATATTGGGATGTTGGCCTTCAGAGAGCGAATACATTGCTTCATTCTGTGGGCTTTATTGCACTTCTGTTGTAATGCTTTGACTTCTACCTTTCTGTTGTGACTGCAAATGAACGTTGTAGATACATTTCTCTTGGTATTAATGTGAATTTTACTTTTCAAATTAAATGACACTGAATATTACGTAGAGCAGGGAATACAGTAGTTTTTGCATGCTGAACTTTTATTTGATTGTCTCCAACTGGTCTCAAACTGAAAGTCTGTACCGACTCAAAGTGCTATTGTCTGTTCATAAAATCAAAATTGTGAAAGCCTTTTTCTGAAAGTCAAAATGGCTTTTTTAGTCAAATGACGTGTATACTACTCAAAATAACATCCCCATTTTTTCATATGACTATTAAGCCTTGAAGAGCCAGGGTAGAATAGGTCTTCAGCAACCCATGCTGTAAGAGGCGACTATGCTTGCTGAAGAGGCGAGTTACAGGATCGAGTGGTCAGACTCGGTGACTTGGTTGATGCATGTCATCGTATCCCAGTTGTGGATAGATGTTCATGATGTCATTCAGAGGATTGTCTGGTCCAGACTTGATTGTTTACAGACCGCCGTCATACAGCTGGAATATTGCTGAGTGTGGTGTTAAACAACAAACAAACAAACAAATCAGTACTATAGTTAACCTGTCAGTGGTCACTTGATAAGACATATATACAGCTAAAAAAAAGTCACAGATTAATTATACCATTGGGTGTTCTTTAACTACTCTTGAGTAGTATAGATCTTATCGAGTGACTGCTGACTATAAAGGATGAAATGAACAATTGACAGGTATTTGTTGATCAGACAATTGCACTTTGTTTGGTGGCCCCTTTGGACTATATCTCCACGGTAACCAGATGTATGTTTGTTATGACCAGAGTGAGAAGTTCCACAACTGCACTACAATGGTAGATTTTGTGGAGGGGGGTGGGGGAAATTACTATAGGATATTTTAGTTTGAGTAATGAGTAGAAGAATAAGTAATACTGTCGTCAGCCATATTACATCAATACAGTGCAGGGCCTGTGAAGAGATTGGCCACAGACGACGCAGCAATATTCAAGCTAGTTGATGGCACACTTTAAACAATCCAGTGATTGACATCATGAGCATCGATCTATTCAAATGGGACGTCTGACCATCCAATCCCATTAGTCGCCTCTTATGACAAGCATAGTCGCCTTTTACAACAAACATGGGTCACTGAAGACCAATTCTACCCCCATCTTCACGGCTCATGATGTCAATCACTGGATTGTCTGGTCCAGGATATTTTGAGACTGTCGTCATATGGCTGGAGTATTGCTGAGTATGGCATTAAACAATACACAAACAAACAAACAAACAAACAAGATGCTTCTTGACCTCCTGTGTTTGTTGACCTCCATTGTAGTGTTTGTTGACCTCCATTGTAGTGTTGTTGCAGTTTGGTTTTTTGTTTTATGTTTGTTTTGAGTTGCCGAGTTTATGTTTCCGTGTCCAGGTTAGAGTTCCTTGTTGCACTGACAAGGTGATAGGGCAACCCCAGCCTCGCATTCCCATCCCGGTGAGTCCCCAGTGCAGGGGAGATAACTCCACATGGAGTTGTCTGCCCTTTGCATGATGTTGCATCCATAGCTCAGGTTGAATGTGTCTGTAAGGAATGGATGTCTGATTTCTCTCATATGAATAATGTTTCTTCTTTAATTCAGTATTATAAACTTTCTCAGCTTGTTTAGTGAATAACACAAAACATAAAACTGCATGTCAATAATATTTTCTTTACACTGCAATTGCAAGAGCTGCGAATAGATCGTAGTTATAATCACTTATATATGTAGTGTCACATAGTTCCTGACTAACATCAATCACTGACACTAAAGTAATCACTCATTATCAATTAATTTGTCCGACGCCACATCCACGAGCCCTGAACGCTGAGCGAGCTTTGACGGCCCAATCTACACGAGGGATGTGTGGTTCTTTAACCAGTCGGGGGCACGGGTGGCCCAGTCGTCTAAGGCACCGCGATTCGCTGTGCAGAGTTGCGTCCCCTGGACACGCCCGAAAGCTATGATTGTGGGTTCGAATCCCGGTTCACCCCGATTATGTTTCTAGGTTTGTCAGCACCATACCCGTGCTCGTGGGTTTCACCAAAGTGGTAAACGTCTGAGACCTGCATCACTTCGGGCTTTCCTCCCACATTAAGCTGACACGCCGCGATATAACTGGAATAATGTTAAAAGCGGCGTCAAACCCAACTCACTCACTCACTCTTGAACCAGTCATATGTCAGCTTTCCAAAAATGATTTGGATTCATTTCTTAACCTCTTTGATTTTCAATCTTTGGAAACAAAAACAGACAGAGAACATGACTATACCCTCGATAGTACACCCATGTGGGAATAGATGGCATGGCGCTCACAAAGATCATCGATAACACACCTATATAGGAATAGATAGTTGGCAAAAACAGCTACCACTACTAACTCCATTTATGGTGCATCCGATTCCGTTCATTTTGTGACCGCTCATTGCCCTTCATTAATTTGAGGGGCGGTCGGGTAGCCTCGCTGTTAAAGCGTTTGCTCATCACGCCGAAGACCCGGGTTCGAATCCGGACAAGGGTACAATGTGTGAAGCCCATTTCTGGTGTTCCCCGCCACGATATTACTGGAATATTGCTAAAAGCACCGTAAAACCATACTCACTCACCAGGGCTCAAAGTTGCGACTATAACGGTTGCCAATGCAACCTAAATTTCAACTTGATTTTACCACTCGCTACCTGGAAAAAAAATTGAACTTTGAGGCCTACTTACTCACTCCCTCACTCTATTTCTTTAAGGGACAGTCGGGTAGCCTAGTTGTTAAAGCATTCGCTCATCACGCCGAAGACCCGAGTTCGATTCCTGACATGGGTACAATGTGTGAAGTCCTGGTTACCCTGCCGTAATATTGCTGGAATATTGCTAAAAGCGGCGTGAAACCATACTCATTATTTTAACTCTGGTCTTTGATCAGTGTTCACTCAAATTTTATTCTCAGCTCCCTAGGGAGTATGACGCCAAGCTGCATGATGAATCAGGTGGTCAGGCTCGGTGACTTGGTGACATGGTTTATTACATGTCATCGTATCCTACCAGTGTGGATCGGTGCTCATGATATCAATCACTGGTTTGTAACAGTTTAAGGGGCTAAGTATTGAGGTAAAGCTTTTGGTAGCAGATTGTGGATCACTTCCAGTACCACCAACCACACAGTTTTAATTAAATTTAAAAACTTGAACTAAATTCCACAACAAAGATGAAACTACAATGAAATATTTATTACATGTTTGTAAAAAATATGAAAATCCTTTAAACATTTAAATCAGAGTTAGAGTATACATGTGGTAATTACAATGAGTAGATACATAATTATCAGTCAAAATAAGACAGAAAGGAAGATTTTAGGGACGCTTGAAGCAACATATTTTTTAATGATATTTATGTATCAGCTTGTTGTAACAAAAAGAACAACATAAAACTGAATTACCGTATTCGACGTAATAAGCGCCCCGCTGTAATAAGCGCCCACAGCGATATTTGCTAATATATAGGCAAGTGAACTATCCCAATTAGCACCCCTTCAATTGATCAATGTACACAAGTATTATTTATTCGTGTATAATACGCAATCGTGTGTTATATGTACCCTTAATTACGGGCAATTAAATTCTAGAAAAATATATCTGTCGTGTATGATACGCACAGACTTTTCTTTTGTATCATTTCAGGCTGTCAGCATAAACCACAAAATTTACGATCTTTCACCAAAGTTATATTCTAATAAGAGCTCCCTATTTCTAATTTTGAGAGCGCCCTGGGCGCTTATTACGTCGAATACGATAGTTGAATAGGACAGAATACACTTTCACAGTACCTTGTAACTTTGTTATTTAACATTTAACATAAACAATAAGTAAATATGTTAATCAGGTTTATCGATTGCTTATTTCTGTAAAATATTAATGTTTGTGTTCTATAACAGCATACCTAGTTTAATTCTGATCCATTGTTGTATTCTTGAGAGATGCTGGCTGTGACTTCATGCTTACGTTATGTGTTTATTATTTCAGCATGATATTCCAGCCCACACAATACTGCCTTCATTACATGAAGTTGATATATACAGGTATGTTGTTTTATTTGTTTGTTTCTTGTTTAACGCTGCACTCAGCAATATTACAGCTATCTGACAGTGGTCTGTAAATAATCAAATCTGGACCAGACCATCCAGTGATTGATATCATGAACATCGATCCACACTATTGCACGGGTCTGCGAAATATGAGCCCATCTCTCGACCTAACCCGTGAAGATTCCGGGTTAGAATAGGTCTTCAGCAACCCATGCTTGCCGTAAAAGGTGACAATGCTTGTCGTAAGGCGACTAACGGGATCGGGTGGTCAGGCTCGCTGACTTGGTTGATGCATGTCATCGTATCCCAATTGCGCGGATCGATGCTCATGATATCAATCACTGGAATCTGGTATACCACAAAAGTGTCATGTCTTCATAGAATTAATTAATTTCCGCATTCCCAAACTTTTCTTGACATGATTCTGTTTTGTCATTGCAGTGCATTTCAGTCTATTCTACCTCATATTCAGCTACTGTGGGAACTGGTGCTTGTAGGAGAGGTGAGAGGTCACGGTTATCAACCTTTATGTCTTGTGGCCAATATTTGTTTTTATGTTGATTCCTTCTCTCAGAGTCATTATGTAGTTAATTAAGACGTTGGATGAAACTGGAATATTTTTTTTTGGCATCAGATACAATTTTGTGATTTTCAAAGTGAACAGAAGGAAACCGTTGTTCTTGGTTGGGTTGGTATAGCTCGTCCAAATACACTCGATTAATATGGAAGTGCTCCCCCAAACACACCTGTTGCGCATGTTCTTTTTGGGGGGTAAATCTCGTGCGTGTCATGCTGATGTGACGGACCACTACGTTGAACGGAGTCACATGTTTGAGATGACATTTATTCATAGTGGGACGAAGAAGTCCTCAGAGCTCCAGTCAGGAGATTGCTTTTGCTAATATTAGAATGAACTTCCATTATCCACTTTATAACAGAAAGTGGTCAATTATTCACTTTCGTTGAATATATAGAAACATTTCATTTTGGGGGGATTTGGTTAGTGTGGCAAGGAAGGTTTGTGTTTCTGTCTTTAGTCTAATTAAAATGTCCGACATGATATTTTTGACTTGTTGTTTACTTAACGGGGAATAAAAAGTGCCTCATTCTTACAAAGTTTTATCTTGTCTACTTGCAAAATATTTCCTTGTTGAAGCTTTAAAGATAATTTTTCCATAGTAAATTTGTATTTGTATGCTACTCAAAAGAAGTTAAGGACCACCCGATGCTTTCATATTACTGGAGTTCTGCCCTGATCCTTCACTTCTTTTGAGTAGTATGTCTGGGCAGTATGTTAATGAGTTCCTGAGAGAAAGCTCATGTGATCGCTGTCTGCGCTATACACATGAGTACCTGACCAGCAACAACAAATACAAATAAATGAATTAAAAAATGTGGAAAAAACTCCTTGTCCCATATGAAAGAAATGTGATGTGCTAGTGTTTGCGAGCGTGCTGACTGATGTCTGTGTTTCAGCCGATTGTTGTGATGGCCGCCTCCCCCTCGGTCACCAGCAACTGTGTTCAAGCTTTAATCAAGTGAGTAGTGATTCACACCCCAGTGTCTTATGCTGCTGACTCAAGAATTTTCAGTATTTGCAGCTAAAGTGGATACCTAGCTAAGGATGGACAACATGTGTTAGCTGTCTTTTTTTTGTTTTATGTTTAAAATGGTTCACAATGGAAGCCTTTTAGGGCCATTTGGTTTTTTTTGGGTTTTTTCCATACTATCTTGAAATTTCAAGATCCTAAGTTGAAATTACAAGAAACTAAGTTGAAATTTCAAGATACTAAGTTGAAATTTCAAGATATTAAGTTGAAATTTCAAGATACTAAGTTGAAATTTCAAGATAATAAGTTGAAATTTCAAGATACTAAGTTGAAATTTCAAGATAGTATCTTGTATTCCAAGAAAGTATCTTGAAATTTCAACTTAGTATCTTGAAATAGAAGTATAGTATCTTGAAATTTCAACTTAATATCTTGAAATTTCAACTTCTGTATCTTGAAATTTCAAGATAGTATCGAAAAAAACAAAAAAACACATGGCCCTTTTTATAAGGCTTCCGTGGTTTACGGAAACCACCATCTCTAAATATCTCAAATGTGGGAAACAATTGTTGAAGATTTTCCCATCATGTCTGCCCGTGTATGTCTCCAGAAAATGATAGTGTCACAGTCAGGGGCCCAAATTTGAGGCCCTCAACATGAATGTTTTATTGTTTGTATTAATTGCTGCTGTTGTTTACTGCAATCTCATTAAAATCAAATCTTTGTACTCGCTACTGCTAAACAAAGATCTGAGGACATCCCATTAGGGGTCACGTCAGAACGACCTTTCATCCGACCAATCAGAGCGTCGCTTACCAGATCATGAAAGTGACAGTCGGAACGTGTTTTCTAATCATGCAACCACAAAATATTTGACACGGGGTATTCCGAACTACAGTTACGGGTTTTATGATTATATCCATACAATCTAGGCCATCTATAAGCCATTCCAGAGTGTTCTTCTTATCAGTTTTATGTTTCGAAGCGTAGTCGCCAGTTGGAAACTAGTGGTGTAAAGCTCGAGAAAGCTGCCTTCTGATTGGCTAATGTCGATTTCTTGTCAGTCATTTCATTGGTTGGTCAAAATTCGAGAAAGGTCGTTCTGACGTGACCCGTAATGGGATGTCCTCAGATCTTTGTTTAGCAGTAGCGAGAACTAAGATCTGATTTTAATGAAATTGCAGTAAACAACAGCAACAATTAATACAAACAGTAAAATGAGATTGTTGTTTACTGGTTCCGGAATTTTGGCTTTTAAATTTGTTATTCATCATATGTGATTTTTTAAAACATTGGCTTTGCTATTGCAGTTATATTTTCTTGTTTATTTTGACCACTTAAAAGAAATGTGATAAAAGATAAAAAACCTTAAGTCCAAGAAGTTAGGATCCTAACTAGTGTCAGAGTACCAGACTAGTATCCTATCTGCCCTGGATAGCCGATACTAGTGAAACGGTGTGCGCTGTTTGCAGCTTGATCGCCCCCCTGCGATACTGCTCGGACTTCCGGCCTTACTTCACGATACACGACAGCGAGTTCAAGGAGTACACCACTAAAGTACAGGCGCCGTGAGTACACTGGGTTTCCTTGTACACGCTGTGGAGCTCATTTCGGGGTTTCTGTAGAAATATCGGGACTCTACCGTTTCCCTTCACCATGTCTTTGTTTATTACTACATAGGTCTGGGGATTGACCCAGTAGAAAAGTCATCCAAGTACTTCTATTTGCCTACAAATCCAAAAATAGTTTTGAAAACCTTTTTTTTCCTGTCTCTTCTTAAACAACCTACATGTTATACCGTATTCGACGTAATAAGCGCCCACGGCTATATTTGCTAATATATTGGCAAGTGAACAATCCACTTCCGTCTGAACAATGTACACACGACTTATTTATTCGTGTATAATACGCACTCGTGTTATATGTCTCTTAATTAAAACCAATTAAATTCTGGAAAAATATATCTGTTGTATATAAACATTTCAGGCTGTCAGCATAAACCACGAAATTTAAGGTCTTTGAACTTCTTTTTTTTCACCTAAATAATATTCTAATAAGAGCCCCCTTTTTCTAATTTTGAGAGCGCTCTGGGCGCTTATTACGTCGAATACGGTACTTTGTTCATTGGAAGTGAACATGGAATAGGGATTCCAGAGTGAGCAGGACTCCAATATTTCTTGATGAAACTTGCTATATAGATCAATCTTATGATGAACTGGTGTCTTTGGATAATCGGGGCGGTCGGGTAGCCTAGTTGTTAAAGCGTTCGCTCGTCACGCCGAAGACCCGGGTTCGAATCCCGACATGGGTACAATGTGTGAAGCCCATTTCTGGTGTCCCCCGCCGTGATATTGCTGGAATATTGCTAAAAGCGGCGTAAAACCAAACTCACTCACTCACTCACTTTGGATAATCAACAGCATTTTCTTCGTCTCAGAACTGAAGGTATCCAATGGCAATGAACCAAAAGTAGACTCCATTTTGAAATTGCACCAGATGGGGGGATGTGTCATCTGCAGATGACTCTTGTTTCTATATTGTCTCGGGTCTGAGAGACTAATGCAGCATCAGCCTTCTACCAAATTTGTTAGAGGCTCCCTCACACACAACCTTACATTGACTGTAAACATATATACAGAGCCCACTTTCTACACTTTAGGATGTTGGTTGTTACCCCGGCTTATGCCTGATAAAATAACATGCTTCTAAATGTTGCTTTTGCTATCAGGAGGGCAGAATCTGGAGCTGCCGAGGAAAAATACATTTTTGGTTCCTGAGTGTAGAACTTAATCATCCTTTCTGTGTGGAAAATAGACTTTATTCTTGACTCAGTGACTATTAACTTCCTATTTATTTTTGGAAATTGTTTGAGAAAGGACGTTCAGTTGTTTGACAAGATTCCAACATTAACCCACAAAAAAATTAACGTATTCGACGTAATAAGCGCCCAGGGCGCTCTCAAAATTAGAAATAGGGGGCTCTTATTAGAATATTATTTCGGTGGAAAAAACAGAGTTGAATGATACGTTTCGAGGTTTATGCTGACAGACTGAAATGTAATATGCAACAGATATATTTTTCCTGAATTTAATTGCCCATAATTAAGAATGCATATAACACACGAGTGCGTATGATACTCGAATAAATAAGTCTTGTGTACATTGATCAATCGGAAGGGGTGCTAATTGGGATTGTTCACTAGCCAATATATTAGCAAATATCGCCATGGGCGCTTATTAGAGCGGTGCGCTTATTATGTCGAATACGGTATGTATTTTTTATCATCTTTTCTCATTGTCTTTTCAATAAAACGGTGAATGTGGTGACAAGAAGCTATCATTGTTAAAGAAATATAAGATGGGCATACTCACTCACTCACTCACTCACTCCACTACTAACTTGAGGGATATACCTTTGCTGGAAGCTATTCAATGATAACCAAGGTTTGCTTGCTCTGTCCATGGCTTTCCTGCTCTGTTCCAGCCCCTCGGTCATCCTGGGAGTGACCAACCCTTTCTTTGCCAAGACCCTGCAGCACTGGCCTCATATCATCAGGATCGGGGAGATGGGTGGGATAGGTGAGACTGATGCCAGCAGGTGCTTGTACCCGGGTACATGTCATCATGATCGGGGAGAGGGGTGGGATAGGTGAGACTGATGCCAGCAGGTGCTTGTACCCGGGTACATGTCATCAGGATCAGGGAGTGGGGTGGGATAGGTGAGACTGATGTCAGCAGGTGCTTGTACCCGGGTACATGTCATCATGATCGGGGAGATGGGTGGGATAGGTGAGACTGATGCCAGCAGGTGCTTGTACCCGGGTACATGTCATCATGATCGGGGAGATGGGTGGGATAGGTGAGACTGATGTCAGCAGGTGCTTGTACCTGGGTACATGTCATCAGGATCGGGGAGATTGGTGGGATAGGTGAGACTGATGTCAGCAGGTGCTTGTACCTGGGTACATGTCATCAGGATCGGGGAGAGGGGTGGGATAGGTGAGACTGATGTCAGCAGGTGCTTGTACCCGGGTACATGTCATCATGATCGGGGTGATGGGTGGGATAGGTGAGACTGATGTCAGCAGGTGCTTGTACCCGGGTACATGTCATCAGGATCGGGGAGATTGGTGGGATAGGTGAGACTGATGTCAGCAGGTGCTTGTACCTGGGTACATGTCATCAGGATCGGGGAGAGGGTTGGGATAGGTGAGACTGATGTCAGCAGGTGCTTGTACCTGGGTACATGTCATCAGGATCGGGGAGATGGGTGGGATAGGTGAGACTGATGTCTGCAGGTGCTTGTACCTGGGTACATGTCATCAGGATCGGGGAGAGGGGTGGGATAGGTGAGACTGATGTCAGCAGGTGCTTGTACCCGGGTACATGTCATCAGGATCGGGGAGAGGGGTGGGATAGGTCAGACTGATGTCAGCAGGTGCTTGTACCCGGGTACATGTCATCAGGATCGGGGAGAGGGGTGGGATAGGTCAGACTAATGCCAGCAGGTGCTTGTACCCGGGTACATGTCATCAGGATCGGGGAGATGGGTGGGATAGGTCAGACTGATGTCAGCAGGTGCTTGTACCTGGGTACATGTCATCAGGATCGGGGAGAGGGGTGGGATAGGTGAGACTGATGTCAGCAGGTGCTTGTACCCGGGTACATGTCATCAGGATCGGGGAGATGGGTGGGATAGGTGAGACTGATGTCAGCAGGTGCTTGTACCCGGGAACATGCCATCAGGTGCTTGTACCCGGGTACATGTCATCAGGATCGGGGATAGGGGTGGGATTGGTGAGACTGATGTCAGCAGGTGCTTGTACCCGGGTACATGTCATCAGGATCGGGGATAGGGGTGGGATTGGTGAGACTGATGTGAGCAGGTGCTTGTACCCGGGAACATGCCATCAGGTGCTTGTACCCGGGTACATGTCATCAGGATAGGGGAAGGGTGGGATAGGTGAGACTGATGTCAGCAGGCGCTTGTACCCGGGTACATGTCATCAGGATCGGGGAGATGGGTGGGATAGGTCAGACTGATGTCAGCAGGTGCTTGTACCCGGGTACATGTCATCATGATCGGGGAGAGGGGTGGGATAGGTGAAACTGATGTCAGCAGGTGCTTGTACCGGGGTACATGTCATCATGATCGGGGAGAGGGGTGGGATAGGTGAAACTGATGTCAGCAGGTGCTTGTACCCGGGTACATGTCATCAGGATCAGGGAGAGGGGTGGGATAGGTGAGACTGATGTCAGCAGGTGCTTGTACCCGGGTACATGTCATCAGGATCGGGGAGATGGGTGGGATAGGTCAGACTGATGTCAGCAGGTGCTTGTACCCGGGTACATGTCATCAGGATCGGGGAGATGGGTGGGATTGGTGAGACTGATGCCAGCAGGTGCTTGTACCCGGGTTTATGTCATCAGGATCGGGGAGAGGGGTGGGATAGGTGAGACTGATGTCAGCAGGTGCTTGTACCCGGGTACATGTCGGCAGGTGCTTGTACCCGGGTACATGTCATCATGATCGGGGAGAGGGGTGGGATAGGTGAAACTGATGTCAGCAGGTGCTTGTACCCGGGTACATGTCATCAGGATTGGGGAGATGGGTGGGATAGGTCAGACTGATGTCAGCAGGTGCTTGTACCCGGGTACATGTCATCAGGATCGGGGAGAGGGGTGGGATAGGTGAAACTGATGTCAGCAGGTGCTTGTACCCGGGTACATGTCATCAGGATCGGGGAGATTGGTGGGATAGGTGAGACTGATGTCAGCAGGTGCTTGTACCTTGCGTCCTTTTGCATTGGTTATTGGAGGTTTAAAGTGTATCACAATATTTTATGATGCACAAGGCTCTATTGCAAAACATAACATGACATATATGATAATTCTGAATTTTGGATTCAGAAGCAATTTGAAACACCAGTGCATGAATTGAAGTTAATAAATGAAACAAAACACGATGCTGGTACAATAATTATTGGCAAGTAATAATACTTAAGACATTATAAAAACTGCTATTTGAAATTACCCGATATACCGAGCATTAACAAGTGATATTGTGATCCCTATTGTGGAAAGAATGAACCAAAATTTACCAATATAACGGTAATACCGCACACCATTACTGTCTCTCAGAACTCTTCTGAAGGAGAATTCACTTCTCCTGCACACAAACGTATAAGATTGTCAGTTATTTGATGGACGGTGCTTTTGTGGTTTCAGGCAGTTCCCCAAAGCCTTTCAACAAATTAAAGAAAGCAAGTGCCCTGAAGACCTTGGACTCAAAGCCAGGTGAGCTACACTGCTTGCTCCGGGTGGTAGCTGCTTCCTACCTCCTGTAGAGATACATACCGCAATACATACCGCGATACTTGAGTCATGATATGTCCATTGTGATTCGAACATTGTACATGTGACCCTTGAAGATCCAGGGTAGAATAGGTCTTCAGCAACCCACGCTTGCCGTAAAAGGCGACTATGTTGGTCGTAACAGGAGACTAATGGGATCTGGTGGTCAGGCTCACTGACTTGGTTGATGCATGTCATCGTATCCCAATTCCGTAGATAGATGCTCATGATGTCAGTCACTGGATTGTTCATGTTCTAAGGCCTGACAAGACGATTTTGCTTTCAAGCTGTTTGTGTTGAACTTTCATGACCGGTTAATTTAGACTTGTACTAATAGTGTTATGCAGTCAGATTTAGCATTTTGGTAATAATGATGATAACAATAATTATCTTGCTGTGTTGTTACAAGGCTTCATGTTTCAGCATTAAGGAAATCCACTCCCACTTCCCTTTCAAAAAAGAAAATTACAAGATGTAATGGCCTTGGACGTTGATGCATTGTTAGGGGGCACGGGTGGCCCAGCCGTCTAAGGCACCGCGATTCACTGTGCAGAGTTGCGTCCCTTGGGCACGCCAGAAACCTATGATTGTGGCTTTGAATCCCGGTTCGCCCTGATTATGTTTCTAGGTTTGTCAGCACCATACCCGAGCTTGTAAACTTCGGGCTTTCCTCCCACATTAAGCTGACACGCCGCAATATAACTGGAATATTGTTAAAAGGGCGTTAAACCCAACTCACTCACTCACTGATGCATCGTTGTGTAGTGGTGTGTGTTAACCAACTACTCACTGCTGTATATGTTACAGGTGTATACACACGTTACAAAGCCTTTCTGAGTAAGGACAAGGCAATTCTCAAGAGACTCATAAAGGTAGGTGGTTGCAGTTCAAAAGTTCATCTACTGATAATATCCTTATTACTTACTTTAGTACCCATGATGATCTGAGGTGAAATTGGTCTTCAGCGACCCATGATTGTCATGAAAGGTGACTATGCTTGTCGTAAGAGGCAGTTATCGGGTGGTCAGGCTCGCTGACTTGGTTGATGCATGTCACCGTATTCCAATTGCTTGGATTGATGCTCGTGATGTCAATCACTGGATTGTCTGGCCCAGACTCGATTATTTACAGACCGCCGTCATATAGCTGGAATATTGCTGAGTGCTGTGTTAAACAAACAAACAATTTTATTTCAGTCTTTCAATATTCAGAATATTCTGTATTCCAGGGGATAAGTTAGAGTGCATATTTACTGACGTCTTGGGTGTAAATTTGAATAAATTCAATCAGAAAATGAAGGACTAGTTCATTTCCAAAAGTTATGAGGTATTTCATCTGTGGGCATGATGGCCACGTCATCTGAAGCGCTTTCGCTGTAGTTGTGTCCCCTTGGCATACCAGAGACCTATTATTGTGGGTTCAGATCTGAGATACACCCTGATTACTCTAGGTTTGTCAGTTGTATTCCAGTGCTCATAGGCTTCACGTCTTCTATATCTCCAGGTAAACCGACACTAGCCCCCATTCGTGTCCAACTCGTGTTATTCCGGGACAAGCCGAATAGCGACTCGTGCCCCTCTCATGGCCATTTTTGTGACCGGGTTCCGTCTTAGCGCAAACGGGCATACCTAAAACAATTGTCAACTCGTTGCGTAATGGTTCACATATATTTCCCCATATATTATATATATTTCAGATGCAATTTAAAGCACATCGGGACGTGCAGAATTATACAGTATGACTGAACACATTTAACTGTGTCTTGGGTATATTTTTAGATGCAAGACATATGTAAAATCAAAAATTATTTCTGAGGGATTATTTGACGAAGAACTTGAAATCATACGCGCATTCTGATTGGTTTGTCGTATTTTCGCACAAAACATTCATCGATAGGGGGACGAGTCATCTTGCAGGTTACGGAAAGGGGCGAGTGGTGACGAATGACTCGCCCCTAGTCCACTCCCGTGGTTGTGGCAATCGCAAATTACCTGCCCTTGTTTTTCATGATCATTCAAACATCGAGATAAGGAAAAAGGAAATGGGTTGAATGGTAATGAAGACACCCTTTCCATCAAATATAGTTTTTAGGGCTTTTGCGTGTCAGTTAGTTCTTCAGACTTGAATTTCTTGCAAACTCAAACGTAATCAATGGGCCTGGCCGCCATGTTGTAGGTATCGCAAACCAAACATTGAGGCTGGTTTTTAATTTGCATTCTGATGAATTTGTTAGACTGAGTAGTATAGCAAATCAAATTGGTTAATGAAAATCAAGGGCATGTAATTATCCCCCGCCCAACAAAGTTAGCGGGGGATATAGAAACGGACTCTGTCCGTACATCCGTACGTCCGTCCGTCACGTTTCGTTTGTCACTTTTTCGTTTCTGGAGCATAACTCAGAAACCATTCAATATTTTTTCATGAAACTTTGCAGGTCTGTCAAGTACATGCTGAACTGGTGCCTTTTGCTATTTAGAAATTTGAGAAATGTTTATTTTTTACGTTTCCATGGCAACAAGATGGACTTAGGTTCCAAACTCTTCTTTATTTAACAATTTCCATAACAAGTTCCACCTCGGTGAAAAAAGGTTAGGGTTTGTTTAGATTTAATTATGTCATAAATTCTGCAACAGGGGCGGGGGATATAGCCACGTTAGTTGCAAACTTTTGTTTGAGTTTGCAAGAACAACGGGAATGGATCCAGTGGTGGGTGTAGATTTACCAAAACGCAAGCCCTGGAATTATAGGAGACAGGTTTTCACCAAAGTGGCAGACGTGCTTTTCTTCAGGCCATCCTCCCACACCAAGCTGAAATACTGTTAAACCAAACTCTGGATGTTCTGTTTCTGTAATTGGCTGTATGTGTTCCAGGGACAGATGCATCGACCTGTGGAGGCCCAGAACGCCATCCTGCGGCGCCATTACCTGGAGCTGACACAGAGCTTCATGATCCCCCTGGTAGGTGCCGTCCCAAACAATCTTCTTGTGTTTGTGTCCCAAACTGTCCCAGTGGCTCTGTGTGTCCCTCCTCCTTGGTCTGATGACTTCGTTTAACTAAAATATGGTGTCCCACATCGCTGACTGTTCATCAAGTATGAACGGCCGGCCCAGTCGTCTAAGGCGCCCCGATTCGCTGTGCAGAGTCGCGTCCCTTGGGCACGCCAGAAACCTATGATTGTGGGTTAGAATCCCGGTTCGCCCTGATTATGTTTCTAGGTTTGTCAGCACCATACCCGTGCTCGTGGGTTTCACCGAAGTGGTAAACGTCTGAGACCTGCATCACTTCGGGATTTCCTCTCACATTAAGCTGACACGCCGTGATATAACTGGAATACTGTTAAAAGCAGCGTTAAACCCAACTCACTCACTCACTCACTCACTCACTCATCAAGTATGATATGCATCATCAGTTGGATTTAGGCTGACACACCGTTAGACCATAATTCCACAGAAAGAAAAAGTCAGCGACTAAAATGAAACAAAAACAGTTGCTTTACATCTTCAACAATTGCCATTATTCACAATGACAAGCCTGTTTTCGGTTAATGTAAACTTCATTTCATCACAAAAGTTTGTGAGTTATTATAGATGACCACAGTTTTATATCGATAATCGTTAATATTTCTTCCCATCGACGATAATTCCAATTAGCGACCTTTTTAGCCAATCCTCCATACAGCGGAAGTCAGTATTGCTGAGTTCAACGTTAACCATTAACAAACAACAACAAAGTCAAGCACTAATAGAATAGTTCACCTGCATGATCTTGTGTTTCCAGGAACGTTATATGGCAAGTCTCATGCCCCTGCAGAGAAATATCTCACCACACAAGGTAGGCAAAGTATATATACTAAACACTGAACACGCTTCATGGAAAGAATTTCCAAGAGCTTAAATATTTGCAAAGTATGTCACAGTTTCTTGGCTTTGATAGCTTTGTGTTAAAGTATTTGTTTTTGAAAGAATAAAACACCAGAGAACTCTTCCCAGTGCTATTTATTGTGTCATCATATTGCGATGCTGTTTTATCCTTAGGCACCTCCACATCTACGACCTTTTGACCCTGATGAGTTCCTCCGGACAGTGGAAACCTCGGGGCCACAACTGACGTCCGGCACCAAGGGGGACTGGGAGGGCCTGTACAGGTAGGGGAGACAACACAAGATAAATGTAATTATCCATTCGGAGAAAGTAACTTGTATATAGGTATTTCTTACTAACAATTAGGATCATCAGTAGTCTTATTGGAAGATAGTGTCTCCTGCCTTGGTGTTGCTGGAATATTGCTAAAGCAGCTTAAGGCCTCACTCACACACTCACTCACTCACCCACACACTCACCAACTCAATCACTCACTCACACACTCACCAACTCACTCACCACCTCACACACTCACTCACTCACCCACATACTCACTCACCCACCCACCCACTCACTCACCCACTCACTCACCCACTCACTCACTCACACACTCACTCACTCAATCACTCACTCACTTACTCACACACATTCACTCACTCACTCACTCACTCTCTCACACACTCACTCACTCACTCACTCACTCACACACACACACTCACTCACTCACACTCACTCACTCACTCACTCACTCACACACTCACACACTCACTCACTGTGTATGCTGCTCTATTACAGACGGTTCTTCCGCTCGCCCAACTTCGAGGGCTGGTACTTTGAGAGGCAGCAGGAGGTGAACAAGAAGCTTCAGATTCTCCACATGGACGTGCTGTGTAGTGCGGTCAGTATACCTGTACACAGCCAGCATGGGTTGCACCAAAGTGGCAAACAACTGAGACCTGGATCACCTCAGGCTTGCCTCCCACATTAAGTTGCCTCGCTGTGATATATACAGTTCATTGTTGTGTTGGGGGGCACGGGTGGCCCAGTCGTCTAAGGCGCCGCGATTCTCACTCACTCACTCGTTGTTGTGTTATACCCATCTTCTCGGGGCAAGGGAGTTAACTGACAACAAAAGTCCAGTTTCCACCCTTGCTGAACTATCCTGGAATTCTAGAGTTCCATTTGGCTTGACTAATGAGTCAATGCATAGTCCAATCAAAATTATACAACGAACTAGACATCTGGTTTGTAAACAACATGGATTTCAATATTCAGACTTTGATCGATATATATTACTTTCACTGTAACAATCCGAAAAAATAATTCCAGTTTTGACTTTTTAATGACCAGCCTCATACTCTTCCTTATGAATAAACATGAAATATGTCTCTCCCTGTACCATCCCTATGTTCTAACATTCGCTGTGCAGAGCTGACAGAATCCTATGATCGTGAGTTCGATACAGTAGCCCTGATTATGTTTCTAGGTTTGTTAGCACCATATCCGTGCTCAACGGTTTCGAAATATTTTTAGTCCTGCACCCCTTCAGGCTTTCCTCCCACATAAAGTTGACACACCATAATATAACTGGAATACTGCTCAAAGTGGCGTAGACCCTAACTCACTCACTCCAACAAAAGCACAAAAACATAATTCAAAAATCAAAATAATTTTTATTTATTTATGTTTTTATTGTGACCTCTTACCAAAGTCTTTGAGAGAGAAAAAAAGTGTAAGCCAACTAATAATGTGTCAACACTGCCCTGCCTCTTCCTGCCGTGTGTGATGTTTCCGTCTGTGTGTGCAGAACCTCGTGGACTGGGTCGCGGACAAGGAGGAGGTGGAGGTGGTGGATCTCATACTGCGACTCCGAGAAAAGATGGTAAGTGTCGACGGCATAGCAGAATTGAATTTGATAAAAACAATCAGAGCTCCAGATAAGCTTTAGGTGTTGTGGGTATTTTACCCATAAATTTTATAATAATTGGGTATCAGTAATTCTGGAAATAATGATATGGCTGGAGCAACTGTTTGAATTGTTAAACTCCAAGTCGCACATAAACTCACTTCTCCAATGTCCTTGGGACATTTCAGGTTATGTTGAAGATCCGGGGTAGAATAGGTCTTCAGCAACCCATCAAAGGAGACTATGCTTGTCATAAGAGGCGACAACGGCTTGGTTGGTGAAGTTCGCTGACTTGGTTGATGCATGTCATCGTATCCCAATTTTGTGAATCGATGCTCATGATTTCAGTCACTGGATTGTCTTCCGCCGTCATATAGCTGGAATATTGCTGAGTGCAGCATTAAACAACAAACAAAACAAAACAAAAAATCAGGATATGTTGATTTTATTAAAATCATTACACTGGCTTCCAATAAGATCTAGGATTGAATACAAAGTCGTGTGCATTGCATACCAGTGCTACTATAGTACAGCACCTTCCTATCTGAGGGAGGGGGCACGGGTGGCCCAGTTGTCTAAGGCGCCGCGATTCGCTGTGCAGAGTTGCGTCCCTTAGGTACGCCAGAAACCTATGATTGTGGGTTCGAATCCCGGTTCGCCCCGATTATGTTTCTAGGTTTGTCAGCACCATACCCGTGCTCGTGGGTTTCACCGAAGTGGTAAACGTCTTAGACCTGCATCACTTCGGGCTTTCCTCCCACATTAAGCTGACACGCCGTGATATAACTGGAATAATGTTAAAAGCGGCGTTAAACCCAACTCACTCACTCACACTATCTGAGTGAACTTCTTACCCTACACCAGCCAGCACGAGATCTCAGATCAGCACATAAACTCCAGTGTTGTGTCCCTATGGTCTCACTCAAAGCATTCGGCAACAGAACTTTTGCTCACACTGCATCTGTGCTCTGGAATTCCCTTCCAGTGGAAATTGGACAATCTCCAACCCTGGACACTTCCAAGACAAAACTAAAGACATCTATTTAGATGTGTCTATGACCCTGTGTGAGGCGCTATGAGCGACTACGTAGACGGAAATGGCGCTGAAGAAATGGACTTTATTATTATTATTATTATTGATTGAATTTAACCAACAGTGTGTTCATTTGCATCTTGCAATTTAAAAGATGACCTGTGCTGCAGTTATATTCATAGGTCTGCTGACGTTAGTTTATCATCCACAATCTTTCAGGTTTTCACAATACTGAACCTTTTCTATTTTTGTCTTGTAGAGATTTGCGGGAAACAATCAACTAATCGTGGCAAAGGACAGTATACAGAAACTGCAATCTCATCTAGACAGTATAATCACATCTCTCCCAGAAGATCTGCAGGTTGTTCTCAAAACATGACCTTCACCTTCACAGTAGGTCAAGGTCGTAATGGATGTGCAAGGCAGGCTACATTGACCTCTGTGAGGTCAGAGTTCACTTCTAGGCATCGTGGTGCAGGCGCCAAACCTCAGCTACGAGCGTGTGACAAAATGTGACATCTGTGTGACAACAACCGATGCCTGAATGAAAAAATGAAAAACAACACGAAGCCTGCAGTGAAATAGTGCCATCATACCAACAGATAGAAGGTTGTGTCCAAGAGTGCTACACATTAGCTGGGGCTATATACCATTCCCAGAATCAGAATCATTTCCATTTTGCCTTTATTCATTGTTTGTGCCTCTGTTGATTAAGCCTTTGGTAGTGTAGCCTAATGACACCAGGTATGGCAGTCTTACTTGGCAATGGTCAGCCATAGTTCAAACAGTATACTGATCACAGTACAACTAGTATTCTTGATTTGTGACATAGAATCGATTTGTATAATTTGGAATGGTCAATATACATATGGCATTTGAAAAAAAGCAAGCATAATGGCCAAAGTAAAGTTTGTACCCAAAGAAGTAATCGATTAATGTGCAATACAGTCTCCTCAGTGTGCATTTCTGAATGTCAGAATCAGTACCTAGGAAAATAGGTTCTGGACTGACGTCTTTGCATTCAATGACAAACCAAAGCATGAGTTGCTGGCATAATCTGGGGCAATCGGGATACAGTCAACAGCAACAATTGTCAATGGGCTTGGATAAAAAGTACTTGTTAATCCTTGATCAAGGATTTTTAGAAATTTTGTTTCCATTGTATTTAAATTTTGTTTACACATGATTTTATCTCATATGAAATGAAATTTGATTTTAGTTTGAATCTTGTTTTATCCCCCCAAATTTATCTTCAGTGAAGAGAATGACAAAAACCTAGAATGGGATCATCAGATTACTGAAATATTTTTGTTAACAAGAACAGCAAAATGATAACAATTTCATAAGCTTAATTTTTAGAAAGTAAACCAAACATAAGATTATTTAAATTTAAATAAAAGACATGTCACAAAAAAACAGGGTCCGTGGTAGAGGAACAAATTATACAGGATCCAAAGTTACCTTGATTTTTAAGGTGTTCATTTTAATAGAAAAATTACGGGAAATGTCATCATAGAGAATGACAATAAATATCAGCACATCATCATCATCATCATCATCATCATCATCATGACCTCATTTTCATTGTTGAAGCAGGGTGCATGTGATTAATATTCTAATGTATTGGTTCTAGTATTACAACAGTACTATTTTGTGTATGAATAGTACTTCCATGGTGGAAATGTCTCAGTTTTTTATATGTAAATGTCTGTAAGTTTGATGGCTCTCTGCAATCTCTCATGTCCCAATCAAGTAGATGTGCTCAGAACAGGTTGTGTAACAGTTGTCTCCCTTCCCTGCCAGAACTTCCTGGGTTTGAATCCCAGCTGTGAAAGTGTAATGCCTTGGTTTTTGGTTTCTTTCCATTCATCATATTGTTCAGTTGCTTGAATTCAAAGGAAACAAGATATATGACAATCTAGTCTGTTGGAATTTGCATTTTGATGCACAGAAAAGGTGTGAACAGGGTTCAGGGTTAACAGTCTGAACCTTGAGGTTAACTGGTGCTGTAGATGCTAACGGGTGCTTGAAAGAGCCTTATTTGACAGATTATTGAAATGCTAACCGGTGCTTGAAAGGCAAACAGCTGCTTGACAGGCTAACCGGTGCTTTAAAAGCAAACAGCTGCTTGAAATGCTAACCGGTGCTTGAAAGGCTAACTGGTGCTTGAAAGAGACTAATTTAACGGCTGTTTGAAAGAGGCTAATTAAACGGCTGTTTGAAAGAGGCTAATTTAACAGCTGCTTCAAAGGCTAAGTCATGCTTGAGAGATTGCAGAAAACTATTTCTCCACATCCTTGTGCTCTATAGTTACCATGGTTACATCAAACCTTCACCACACAACCGAATTCATCTCCACCAATCAGGAATCTCACTGAAGAGTTTACAGATGTTTTTGAAGACAGCCTACTGTTTTGTTTTCAAATATGATTTTGAAATATCAAAGATTTCAATGACTTGCAGTATCTGCTCTGTATTCGTACCCCCCAGTGTGCAGGGTGTCTCTGGTACTGGGTTAGATGGAGGGAAGCACATGGACAGTTAAACACCCTTCCAACTGCAGTCAAATTTTGTTAAAGAAGTTTTGTAATGTTAAAGCACCCCATTCAAAGTGAAATTGAGGTATGTTCCAAAAAGTTATTTTCTTTTTGAGGTACACAAACCACTGAAAATTTTAATATTGAGCAAGCTGAGAATTTATGCATGTCATACGTAATTTTAATGTTACGCAAAGCCTTCTTGGTAAATAGATATGGCAAGTTTTGTTTGTGGATGTCCTTTTGCTATTCGCCTGTCGAACTGGTTCGACACTAGCAACACGGCCAGTGACACACTATGTCTAAATGGTTCCACAATAGCGTTGAGAGCCTAAATGAACATCTGTTTCATGTAGAACCATTGAAGTGAACAAAAAAACAAAATTCTTAAATTTATCTTCAGGGCTAGAAAATATTTTGTATGTGTTTTTTTATGACGTTAAAAAAGTAACCAGTTATCCTAGCCTGTTTGATTGTAAAAACTGGTACACCCATTTCGAAACGCTTTAGTATGTATACTGAGAGAAAAAAGTTACGGATCTTGAATATTTTGGTGGATATTTTTTTAAATAGCATGCTCTGTCTTCACTAAAATATCCGTCAAAATAATCATGATCACTGCCTCTTGTTATTCAGTATATTTTTGTGATAAGTAAATCTGACTTGACAGCAGTTTTGTTTTTCACATTTTGCACGTGCATCTTGGCATATCTGTCGATCAATAACAGTGTGACGGAAGAAAGGCTGTTGATCGAGCCTGGATGTAATGTATTTGTATGCTGAATCCACCTCAAACAATATTTTTTGTAAATAACTGAGAATCGTAACCACACTGTCAACTGTGATCTTCCTCTGGTGTGTCATAATGGAATATGTCGGACATAGTTACACGACCAGCATTGTTAGGGTGTGTGACATTGTCTCCTTCAGGATAAGAGTTTAAAAAAAGAAACATGCTGTCCTTGACCTTAGTAAGTTGTTATGTGAAGTATTCTCAAAGGACCAGATTTGGGGTAGAAGGTGCTGTGTTGAAAACATTTGTCAGGGTAAGGCTTTTAGTACAGATGTAAGGACATTTGTGTTTGGAGTGAGATGATGGCGTTATGAGATTCATCTGTCGTCACAGACTAAAGTGTCTGTTGCCGGTCATACTGTGAGAGCTGAAAGATTGTAATACAAGTTTCAGCAGATGCGGAACCTTTCAAAAAGAGGCTCACAAAAACGAATCAAATTGTTTTGAAGTAAGTTTTGTAATTTTCTCTTTTAAGACAAAATGCTTGTTCTTGAATGAAACTGTTTTTTGCTGACTTTTCAAAATCGCCAAAAATGATTCCTGGAAAAAACTACAGCATTCGTAGCGCTATCATTGCTTTGTCAAACTAGTGCGAGGGCACGGGTAGCCTGGTCGTCTAAGGCGCCGTAATTCGCTGTGCAGAGTTGCGTCCCTTGGGCACGCCAGAAACCTATGATTGTGGGTTTGAATCCTGGTTCACCCCAATTATGTTTCTAGGTTTGTCAGCACCATACCCGTGCTCGTGGGTTTCACCGAAGTGGTAAACATCTTAGACCTGCATCACTTCGGGCTTTCCTCCCACATTAAGCTGACACGCCGCGATATAGCTGGAATACTGTTAAAAGCGGCATTAAACACAACTCACTCTCTCATTCAAACTAGTGTCTGACCCTCAATGCATCATTAACATGAACAAGATTGGATTTGTTAGTCTGGCATTAATTGTTTTTTTTTCTCAATTTGACAGTGACTTTAGCCTCCATAGCATCGCTGTCGTGTATCACAAGGCAATAGACACTCTACATCTGTACCCAGAAACATCCAACTTGTATATATTTATTGTTCTCCTGTGCAATTATCAGTATTTTCTCATCTTAGTCATTTTATCGCCATTGATCTTTGTTATGTTCATAATGAATGCATGGTCAGCATGTGTGTGTGTGTGTGGAAGACTTTTAAGAAGTTTTTTTTCTTCTGAAAGTTTTTACGGTTTTATTTACAAGTAATACATTATGGCTATGAAAACAGTCATAGTCTTTTAGGTAAGCTTAGTAGTCACTGGATATGCTTGTGAAATATTTTTGTAATAATTGAAAATTTGGATATTATAAGGGTAACGCTATTTTTCAAGACATTATCATTTGCAGAAGCCCGAGGTCTTCCATAAACTGCCCAACGAAGGAGGGCAGTTGAAAAAGAATGAGGGCTTCAAATGATAATGCACTGAAAAATAGCGTTACCGTTATTATAGCTAAAACGGATGGAATTTGTTATCAAATAAAAATAAACAACAATATGGGTTTTGAAACATTTAGTGCAATCAACACGAATTTCACTGACCCACTTTTACAGATATGGAAACGTCATAGAACAAACCAGATGACGTCACAATTGAGCATGATGTCACTTAACCCCTTTCCTATGACGTCACCTAACAACGGGCGTGATAATGGCCCGTCGTCAAGCAATATGAGGGCATTATCAAGTTACAGTAAGAAGATAACATGCGGGCGGTTTAGTGATAATTCTATCCATTTTAGCGATAAAGTGTTGATAAACTACAAAGATCAGATTTATTGTTCTTTTGTAGCTGTGTTTTTTGGCTACAGATCATTTAGGGTTATTTTGTGACTATTTGTCAGCAGTATATTAATAGGTTCAGTGGTGAGTTATTACCACAGTTCTACTCACATTTCTATTTTGTCTGTAATTTTGTGGAATGTGTTTTTCCTGTTGTTAACTTTTTGCTTATGCCAGGCTATTTACTGTGCTGGTCTGTCAGGGTGACCTAGCTTTGGTCATCATGGCGCCAGTACCTGCAGGCTATTTACTGTGTGCTGGTCTGTCAGGGTGACCTAGCTTTGGTCATCATGGCGCCAGTACCTGCAGGCTATTCACTGTGTGCTGGTCTGTCAGGGTGACCTAGCTTTGGTCATCATGGCGCCAGTACCTGCAGGCTATTCACTGTGTGCTGGTCTGTCAGGGTGACCTAGCTTTGGTCATCATGGCGCCAGTACCTGCAGGCTATTCACTGTGTGCAGGTCTGTCAGGGTGACCTAGCTTTGGTCATCATGGCGCCAGTACCTGCAGGCTATTCACTGTGTGCTGGTCTGTCAGGGTGACCTAGCTTTGGTCATCATGGCGCCAGTACCTGCAGGCTATTCACTGTGTGCTGGTCTGTCAGGGTGACCTAGCTTTGGTCATCATGGCGCCAGTACCTGCAGGCTATTCACTGTGTGCTGGTCTGTCAGGGTGACCTAGCTTTGGTCATCATGGCACCAGTACCTGCAGGCTATTCACTGTGTGCTGGTCTGTCAGGGTGACCAAGCTTTGGTCATCATGGCGCCAGTACCTGCAGGCTATTCACTGTGTGCTGGTCTGTCAGGGTGACCAAACTTTGGTCATCATGGCGCCAGTACCTGCAGGCTATTCACTGTGTGCTGGTCTGTCAGGGTGACCTAGCTTTGGTCATCATGGCACCAGTACCTGCAGGCTATTCACTGTGTGCTGGTCTGTCAGGGTGACCAAGCTTTGGTCATCATGGCGCCAGTACCTGCAGGCTATTCACTGTGTGCTGGTCTGTCAGGGTGACCAAGCTTTGGTCATCATGGCGCCAGTACCTGCAGGCTATTCACTGTGTGCTGGTCTGTCAGGGTGACCTAGCTTTGGTCATCATGGCGCCAGTACCTGCAGGCTATTCACTGTGTGCTGGTCTGTCAGGGTGACCTAGCTTTGGTCATCATGGCGCCAGTACCTGCAGGCTATTCACTGTGTGCTGGTCTGTCAGGGTGACCAAGCTTTGGTCATCATGGCGCCAGTACCTGCAGGCTATTCACTGTGTGCTGGTCTGTCAGGGTGACCAAGCTTTGGTCATCATGGCGCCAGTACCTGCAGGCTATTCACTGTGTGCTGGTCTGTCAGGGTGACCAAGCTTTGGTCATCATGGCGCCAGTACCTGCAGGCTATTCACTGTGTGCTGGTCTGTCAGGGTGACCTAGCTTTGGTCATCATGGCGCCAGTACCTGCAGGCTATTCACTGTGTGCTGGTCTGTCAGGGTGACCTAGCTTTGGTCATCATGGCGCCAGTACCTGCAGGCTATTCACTGTGTGCTGGTCTGTCAGGGTGACCTAGCTTTGGTCATCATGGCGCCAGTACCTGCAGGCTATTCACTGTGTGCTGGTCTGTCAGGGTGACCTAGCTTTGGTCATCATGGCGCCAGTACCTGCAGGCTATTCACTGTGTGCTGGTCTGTCAGGGTGACCTAGCTTTGGTCATCATGGCGCCAGTACCTGCAGGCTATTTACTGTGTGCTGGTCTGTCAGGGTGACCTAGCTTTGGTCATCATGGCGCCAGTACCTGCAGGCTATTCACTGTGTGCTGGTCTGTCAGGGTGACGTAGCTTTGGTCATCATGGCGCCAGTACCTGCAGGCTATTCACTGTGTGCTGGTCTGTCAGGGTGACCTAGCTTTGGTCATCATGGCGCCAGTACCTGCAGGCTATTCACTGTGTGCTGGTCTGTCAGGGTGACCAAACTTTGGTCATCATGGCGCCAGTACCTGCAGGCTATTCACTGTGTGCTGGTCTGTCAGGGTGACCTAGCTTTGGTCATCATGGCGCCAGTACCTGCAGGCTATTTACTGTGTGCTGGCCTGTCAGGGTGACCTAGCTTTGGTCATCATGGCGCCAGTACCTGCAGGCTATTCACTGTGTGCTGGTCTGTCAGGGTGACCTAGCTTTGGTCATCATGGCGCCAGTACCTGCAGGCTATTCACTGTGTGCTGGTCTGTCAGGGTGACCAAACTTTGGTCATCATGGCGCCAGTGCCTGTTTCTTCATAACAGGATTTGGCCAGAGTGGTGCATCAGAATAAATTTGAATGATTTATGGCCCTCTGAAAAAATATGTAACAGATTTGATGTCTTGAGCAACAGAATGGTTTTTAATTGTAGTTGAAAGAAACATTTTTGTGTCATGTTTTTACTTTTTTTGTAATTTGATGACATCACAAGAGTTAATGCTGAGTTTTTATAGAATAAGGAGATAGTATCTCAAGATGATTGCCTAAAGCAATGATGTTCTGTTGCCAAACTGCCTGTATTGTCCACACGATGTCACTCAAGTGCATATTTATGTCATGAAGCTTTCCTTCCCAGCTTTAACTATTTTTGTGATATGTATTTTTGATACTAATGTGTTTTGACAAATGCATGTTCTTCTTTGTGCTAACGGTCTTTCTGACCATAAAGTAAAAGTGCAAATTTGTAAGCAATTAATTGAAAAAGTAATCTTTTTAAAAAATATTAAAACATAAAAAACATTAAAACATCAAAACATGCAGTAACCAAATCTTATCATTTGACACTAAAATACATTTGATAATTTTATGTGAAAAATACATAATGTTAGTTGAAATTAAAATATGGATATTCTCTGAATTTGAACACTTTCGTAAGGACAAAGATTATGAGTTAACAAGAGAATGCATTTTCTGATTTTAATTCCTAACTTGCAGGTCTGCATGCATTCAGTCAGAAGGTTACAATACATGTAAAACATTCATCTTGCACACACTAATGTCAATGTTTGCGTGTATCATGATCTGTGTGTGATAAATGTTTTATTCTTCACAAAAGCCTTGATCCCTGCCCTCACTTGTGTCACCATGTTTGTCCTTGTCATTATTTTCAACACCTTTAGCAGGCCACAATGCATTCATTACTTGTTTCATTAATGTTTTGCTAACAATCTTACAAATATAGGTACCGTAATTAGCTGGGGGTAGGGGTGGGGGGTGGGGGAGGGCAGAATCCTAGGATCACTGGTTTGAATCCCAGATTCGGCCTGATTATGATTCCTGGTTTGTTGGTACCATGCCCATCCTTGTAGGTGTTTCCAATGTTGTCTCTAAGCTGGAATTTCCAGGCTTTGCTATTTTGATTTCAGCCTAGTTTGTCAAGGGTGGTAACTGGATTTTATAGTCAATTAACTCCCTGCCTCAGGAAGATGAAGACCTGCGTCCATAAACTTTCCTCCCACCTCAAGCTGACACTCCCCGAAGCACTGTTCAAAGCGGCATTAAGCTAAACTCACTCATTCACAGCAGTGTTAAACCAATGTCCCTCACAGGTTTAACATAGTGATGATCAGACAGGACCAGGTGGTCAGCCCTTGTGTGTGATCAGATGACTATATTCATACATGATCAAATGAGGTTCAGATCAGTTTCTTGATTACACTGCCTAACCAAAACTTGTAAAAACTTGCAATCACAATCCACATTCTTTTTAAGGCTTACAAAAATAAAAAGAATTGGTTCTCAGGCAATGTTTTTTGAAAATATAGTGCGGGCGGGCGGTGTCTTTTTTTAATTTTTGTTGTTGTTCAAACTGGTATGTAACTACTAAACAGTTGTGTACAGTTATGTACCCTCCCTACATAAATTCATTGATGAGTAAAATATTGGAATACAGTATTTGACTTGGAATATTTAAGGATTTAAAAAAAAAAAAAATTAAATTG